ATAACATGTGGTTTAAATGTATTTTATAAACTTGAAGTGAACATGCTAACATAGCGTGCATAACATATCTATAAAGGCATCACGTATCACAACATAACATAATATATCACAAGCGTCTCATAGTCTAACTCACAACATAACATATCATCTATCACATTTCATAGCATAACATAACATAATACATGTCAATTATTAAAATTTTTTAAAAAGTTTAAAAAATATCTCTACCATTAGTTTTAGATGGGAACGATTAGCATTTTGTTCAAAAAATACCTTTAAAACTTTTAATAATGTATAAAAAATGCCTTTGAATTTTAAAAAATTTGAGTTCAATAATACCAGTGCAGTTAGTACCATATTTAAAAATATTATCAAATTTTGAAAGTAATATTAACCCTTTTTTCCTTTATAAAAAAAGTTTAAAATTTTTTAATGTCAATATGGGAGGAAAACTGTCTATCCAATCTAAACATTTTAATATTACTTTTAATACGGATGGACCTAAAAATTCCATCCATATGTCAACCAATTTAAAGGTGTTTTTGAGATTTTTTTTTTTAATATTATTAAAAGTTTTGAAAATTAAAAGGTATTTTTGAGACCGTTTCAAAAGTTAAAAAAGTATATATTTTTTTTAAACTATTTTGAAAGTTGGTATTTTTGAAACAATGTATAAATTGTTATTAATATATATTTTTTTATTTTTTAAAGTTATTTTTGAACTATTTTTTAAAATTTAAGGGTAGGATGGGAATTTCTTAAAGTTAAAAATATATATATTTAAAGAAAATGGGATTTTTTAAAATTAATTTAGGCTAAAATTAGAAAAAAAATAAAAACAAAAATTGAATTAGTTTATATTGTTTTAACGTTTGAGGTTGAGAAAATGAAGAGGGATTAGAAGAAAACGCACCAACAACTTGGTGTGTACACCCACTGATGCCTCTAATTATTGTCCTCCTCTTTCCCACATTGTTTCCTTTTGTAAAATCTCACAATAATCTTCTTCCCAAATCAACAAACAAGCTTTAAATTCAAATGGGTAGTGGGGAGAGAAGCCAAGGGAGCTTCAAGAGCGTCCCAAAGGGCTGTTTGGCTATCAAAGTTGGGCATGAACATGAAGAGAAGCAGCGATTTATAGTGCCTCTCTTCTATTTCAATCACCCTTTGTTCTTGCAGCTACTCAAGGAAGCCGAAGACGAATATGGGTTTCACCAAAAGGGAACCATCACTCTTCCTTGTCATGTCCACCAATTTAGGTTTGTTCAAGCCTTGATTGATCAAGAAACCTCCTTTCACCACCACCATCTCTACGGTCCTTGCTTTAGGGTTTGACCCGCAAAATTATTCAACGACACCGTCACGTTATAATTCTTCTCTCTCTAAACACGTCTGGTTACTATCTCCGTTTTGTTTCAATCAATCTTTCGGAATAATTTCTCGTGTTTTTTTTTTTTTTTTTTTTTTTTTTTTTTTTTTTTTTTTTTTTTTTTTTTTTTTGTTTGTTT